TTTGAGACAGGGTCTCCCTGTAGCCCCAGCTGTCCTGGAACTCACTATGTAGACCAGGCTGGCCTTGAACTCATAGAGATCCGACTGCCTCTGCCTCCCGAGTGCTGGGATTAAAGGCGCGCGCCACCACGTCCGCCTGAAGGCATATTTTTATGTAATTGGTAAATTTAATATTCTACAATGATTTTTCAAATCAAACGAATGCGTTCCTGGAAGGGGCGGCGGAATCCAAGGTGGCTAGCCGCTTTACGCTGGTGAAAGCTGTTGGGAAACGTCTGGGCTGTACTTGGCTGACGGTGCCTTGAGCTTCTACATTGATATCAGGGAGTTTTCCTCGGTCCCTAAAGAAAGCAAAAGGGGTGGAATTGTCTTAGACGGATGGGTGCTGCAGCCAATCGGCAGTGGGCAAAGGTTCGGGTTTGGCGGCGCCTTTCCGGTTCCGGCAGGCTGGGTGCGCGCAGCTTCTGTAGGCTGTTGAGTGTGGCGCGATGCCTCTTCATAAGTATCCGGTGCACCTATGGCAGCTGCTGCGGCTGCGACAGGGCATCTATGCGCGCTTACCCGCGCACTTCCTGCGCTCGTTGGAAGAAAAGCTGACGCCTACCCCGGTACACTACCGGCCCCATGGGGCCAAGTTCAAGATCAACCCCAAGAACAGGCAGCGGGAGCGCGTGGAGGACGTTCCCATTCCAATTTACTACCCTCCAGAGTCCCAGCAGGGGCTGTGGGGCGGAGAGGGTTTGATCTTGGGCTACAGATACTCCAACAACGATAAGGTGAGTGCGAGCCGTCTCGATGGTTCTCGAGTCTTCGCTGGGAACTTGGGAACGTTGGCCCATCGGACACAAGCCCTGAACATGGAGCTTTCTGACAAGTGGAGCGGCAAGGATTTGGAAAACTCCACTGGCCGAATCCAGGGGCGGGGAGTGGTGGGGTGGTCGGGACCCTGGAACCGTCCAAAGTAAGGATGGGATAGCGCTGGGCGATGGAGAAAGATGGTAGAGAGCTTGCCTAGGAGGTGCAAGGCCTTGGGTTCAATTCCCAGCACCAGAACCAAAAGGAAGCGTAGATGGGAGGGGTCTACCTGCTGAGGAGGAGAGAGAGGTGCGATCCAGTTGTCACCTGCTAGCTTCTGTCATCATTTGTCTAATTCTTGTGACAGGAAGGTAGCTTAGCTCCTTCCCTATCAAAATAAGGGAAGCTGAGATGCTCAAAGCCAGGCAGCTAGCAAGGGGCAGAGTCTGGAGTCTGCTCTGGTGAGACTCTGCCCCTGGCCAAACCTTGTAGAGGACAGCAAATGTTTCAGGCCACCAAGCCGCTGTTCACTTCCTGGGGTTTCAGTTGTGCTAGTATTTGGAACACATACCAACCAGTAGGTTTAGGGCAAGCCTGAGAAGCAGACTTATAGGTGGGCATCCGTGTCCAGCCTGAGGAGTTGAGTTTGGCAGCAGTGGATCTGTGGAGGAGCCTCTAGGGAACTGAGAGGGCAGAGCCCACATTGGCACAGCTCCCAGGAAGGTGCTTTGGGGTCCACTTGGTCTGGAGGGAGACATCCCAGCAGTCAACAGGTCTCTCTTGCACCCTCAGCTTGCGAGGAGGGTGAAGAAAGTGTGGAAGCCTCAGCTCTTCACACGTGAGCTCTACAGTGAAATCCTGGACAAGAAGTTCACTGTGACAGTGACCATGCGAACCCTGGATCTCATTGATGAGGCCTATGGGTTTGACTTCTATATACTCAAGGCAAGTGTGGGGGCATAGTGTACTGTGTGCGTGTGTGCATGTGTGCGTGTGTGCATGTGTGCGTGTGTGTGTGTGTGTTTGTGTTCAGGGTGGTCTTGTCAGACTTGAGGTGCAAAGCAGGACCACATCAGGGCACATGGCATCTAGGTTAGCCTACAAGTGTGGCAAAACACAGTGGAACTGAGCCCCCTTTTGGACAGCCCCAGTAGGAGTTTTCTGCCTGAAGAGGGTGCCTTGTGAGCTGCCGACTTGTCTAAGGATACTGAATGAGCACAGCTACTTCCTACCCTTCTCTTGAGTTTATGTGGGGCCTGACCCATACCAGGCTTGCTTGTTAGTGCTGCCCCAAGCCTGTTGTGCTCTAGTCTGGCCTAGGGCTGCCAGCAGTTGAAGAGGAACCCAACAGGGTCGCTGGTGGGATGAGTGGGGACCAGATGAAGCATTTGGCCCCATGTGAACCTTCTGCCAGACCCCAAAGGAGGACCTGTGCTCCAAGTTTGGCATGGACCTGAAGCGAGGGATGCTGCTGAGACTTGCCCGCCAGGACCCCCAACTACACCCTGATGACCCTGAGCGGAGGGCAGCCATCTATGACAAGTACAAGGTGAGGGTTTCTCTATCCTCCTTGCTGCTTGAGACCTCTGGCCTAATCTTGGGCCTCACTAAGCCTTCCCTCTGCCTGCACAGAGGTTTGTCATCCCAGAGGCAGAGGCTGAGTGGGTTGGCCTGACACTGGAGGAGGCTGTGGAGAAGCAGAGGCTTCTGGAGGAAAAGGTGAGCACTTGTGCGCCAGCCACTGGGGATGGGTAATGGGGGCTACTGCTTTGGAGAGATCCTGGGTGGGTGAGGGGCTGCCATATCTGCTGCTATGCATTTGGTTCCTGTCTGCTTGGAGAAGCATGGCATGTTTCCTTCTCTTGAAGTCCTTCCTTCACCTACCCCTGAATTCTCAGGGAAGAGATCCGTGGCACTGGGTATTTACTTGGACAGCCAGCATCCCTCAGGATCTTCTTTTGTGTTTGTTCCCCCAAATAGTCTAGTGCCTGTGGTGACTACCAGGACAGGGAACCAGGGGCAGGCATGTGATTCTTGGATGCCCATGAGAGTGCAGGCTTTGGTTTGGTGGGTAGGCCCTGATCTCCAGATTGGCAAGAGTCTCATGTGATTCTGCCTAGCCCAGGTCCCTCCATACCCTAATTTCTCTCTGTTTTGCCAGCAGTAGCTGGTTACCACCCTTCCCAGAGCTCCTTCTCTGGGCTACATTGAGCCTTACCATGACCTCTCCCCTTCAGGACCCTGTCCCACTGTTCAAGGTCTACGTAGAGGAGTTGGTCCAGCGGCTTCAGGAGCAGGCTCTGTCGAAGCCCGCAGTGGTGCAGAAGAGAGCCAGTGACCACGCCTGACCACCGGGCTCGACCTTCCCCATGGGCTTTTAGCACTGTGGACACAGCTGGGGTGGCCATGAGGGCCACCTGTGAGCAGTAAATGAATCCTGCTTGGCAGGTTCTGGCCACACAGCTCCTATAGTAGGCTTTTCAGAGAAGCCTTCTGTCCCAAGACTGTTGGAGACCTGAAGCCAAACAGAGGCCTGTCTCGGCTGGTCAAGGACTTGCAGCATTTATGGTTCTTGTGAAGCTGGGAACAAGTAAAGTCTGAGCCAGTCTGAGCCACAGTAAGGATGTGCTGCTTTGTTTGGAACTCAAGTCCTCTGTGTGTTCTTAGCCTGGTTATTCTCCTGTCCCAGAGACGCAGGGAGACTATGTGTGCTGTCCAACTGCAATTGCTGGCCCTGCTGAGCTGTGCAGACTGAAATCCTCTTTTGTGCCTATCTTCCTCTGGGAAAGGGTCCCCCATAGTTGAGGCATTTAGGGTACAGCAGAGTGGAGCTTCTTCCCTTTTAATGTACATTCCTGTCTGTTCTGGAATGTTATTCAGGGCAGAGGAAGGGAAGCTGGGGCCTGGCTAAGGTCTGGGAAAGGCTCTCTATAGTATGTTTTGAAGAACCAGGAGGGGGCAGCTTCTTGGGTCTAGAGCTTCCATCAGCATCTATATTGTAAAGATGCAGGAAATGGGGCCACATGGACTTGAAGGCCATGACTGTACCACCTACCTCTTCTTAACTACCGCCATCTGCCTTGTGGGGCAGTGGCTTGAGGTAGGGAGCCAGGCCAGGTACCTTGGGGCCCTTCTTGTGCTGAAAGTTGGGGGGCTCAGAGACTTGAGCATTGAAGCCTATTACTTTCTCTGGGAAGGATGGGAAGGGTCTTTTAGACATGGAGGGTCTCTTAAGCTATGTGTGTAGGAGGAAGTGGTAGTGGTTGCTGAGTTCTTAGAGCCCATACCTGACCACAGCTAGTGCAAAAGGGAGAGTTAATCACCTTCAGGACTTGGGCCTGGCCACTGGCTGAGGGACACTGGGATCCCCTGAGGATATACCATCGGAATGCCTATGCTTGGCTGTATTCATGATGCCAAATCCAGAGGAGACACACAGCCATCTTGCCAGTGTAAGAGGAGTCAGGGCGGAGGGGTATGGCACACAGGGAGATCCATGAGAATCAGGGCCTGCCCTGGGGTCATAGCCTGCCCTGAGGTCAGAGCCCAGTGGGTGTACCCCCAGGGATTGTTCTGTCCACTTTGGCCTCTCTGCCCTAGCAAACCACCTAACACCTTTGCTCTGTGAATAATTCTTAAATTCTTTTAAAAATTACATTATTTTATTTAGTGTGCAAATGTGCATACATGTGCCACAGTGTGCATGTGGAAGTCAGAGGAGAGCTTATGAGAGTTGGTTCTCTTCTACCATGTAGGCTTGGGGGATCAAACCAGGTCATCAGGCTTGGTGGCAAATCTCATTGGCTCTAATTTGAAAAAAAAATGTTTTTAACTGGCAATGATCAGCCAGTTGTTGTCCTGGTTGACCCACAAGGCTCTGCCCAGTTGTCCCACATCATTGGTATGGTTCCCACACCACTGGCTTCAAATTTGTGTTTTTCTTGCCTCAACCCCACAATTTCCATGTTCAGTCCTGAATTTAAACCAATCTCTCCTTGGTATATGTAGCAGAAGTCCTCACTATCTGACTTGGTTCTGCCCCTGTCTGTTCATCTCTTTTCTCACTGCCAACACCTGGATCAAGCAAGATCTATGGGTTTTTGTTATATTTTTGAGACAAGGTCTCACTGTGTAGCCTAGGCTAGGCTTTAACTCCAGATCCTCCTGCCTCTGCTCCAAGTGCTATAATTACTGATGTGTACCCCTAGGCCTGGCTAGGACCTGTAGGATTTCTTGCATCAATTCCTGGAGCCCCAGAGGACCTGTGTCTGGCTTGGGGGATGCAGTCAGAGTAGGTTGGAGAACTAGTCTTTGGACCTTATGCTTACAGACCAGCCTTAGTATCTTTTTTGAACAATGGGGTGGGTAAATGTCCATATGCTGTTTACATTGACTCTTAGGGCTGTGGTTCTGGGCCAGTGGAATGGGGGTTACTCAAGCTAGCCATTGGTTTGGCTGCCAGTAACAGGTGCCGAGTGTGGCCTGAAGAAGTCAGCTTGAGGCTGTTTCATCCTCCTAACAGGAGGCCAGGCAGGACTGAGATGGACTCTGGTGTGGCCCTGGCCGTGAATCCCAGAATAGCCCCTTTTTGTGGCATTGGTTTCATCATATTCTTACAAACATTCTGTTTGAGACAGGGTCTCCCTGTAGCCCCAGCTGTCCTGGAACTCACTATGTAGACCAGGCTGGCCTTGAACTCACTGAGATCACCTGCCTCTGCCTCCTGAGTGCTGGGATTAAAGGCGTGCACCACCACACCTGGTTTGGTTTTTTGAGACAGGGTCTTACTATGTAGGTCTGGCTGGCCTGGAACTCAGCTATCTTGCCATGTAAACTAGGCTGGCCTTGAACTCACAGAGACCAGGCCTGCCTCTGTCTCCCTGGGATTAAAGGTGCATGCCTAGTGTTTTTTTGTTTGTTTGTTTGTTTTTTGAGACAGGGTCTCCTTGTAGCCCCAGCTGTCCTGGAACTCACTATGTAGACCAGGCTGGCCTTGAAGTCACAGAGATCCACCTGCCTCTGCCTCCCGAGTGTTGGGATTAAAGGTGTGTGCCATCACGCCTGGCTTTGTTTTATTTTGTTTTGTTTTGTTTTTTGAGACAGGATCTCTAACCCAGGCTGCCTTAAACTGGAAACAAACTTCCTGCTTCAGGCTTCTGAGTGCTGGGATTTCAGGTGTGAGCCATGTCTAGTTTCACCAAGATTCTTGACTCAGAAAAATATGATGCCAAAAATATGGATTTGGCATCATGAATACAGAAAAATATGGCTTATCCCCTCCCCCCAGTAAAATGACTCAAGCCAGGGAAAGGCTCCAAATGGACCATCTGCACATTATTCTGCCTTGTAGGATGTGTCCAAGGGTCTCAGCTTATAGGACAGAGGAGAGCACATGGAGTGTACAATACTTACACATGTGTGCATACACACTGTGAGGCAAGCTCATTCTTGTGATTGGTACCACACATGGAGATAGGAATTGAGATGCAATCTGTGAGAACCTATCTGAAATGGCTCCGCCAGTAGTTCCTTGTTCTCCATGTGTCCCATTCCTCTCTTCTAGGCCAACTGCCTTAGCCATCCTGAGCCCTTTCTGTGTCCTGTAGGCTAACCAGTCAGTCTTCTGCTATGTCTGTCAGGGTCTGTACTAAGATCAACCTGCAAAAGGCAGAGACACCCCCATGTTTTGATATTAGAGCCTGGGTCAACCTTAATGTCAAAAGGGCTGTAGGGTTGTAGCTAGCTGTGGAGACCAGGGTAGTTAAGAGGGTGGACCACTGCTGCTATGATTTCTTGATGCTGCTATTCTTGTACACTGGGGCCAGGGCAGTGGAGGCCTGAGAAGGAGTGACTCCATCACTCCATGTAGAAATGAGCCATCCAAGGCCAGGAAGGTTAGGACCTCTGCCAATCACAGGTAAAAGGAACATGAGGTAGCCTGTAGGCACAGTCCAGAGCTCTGCACTTGACTTGTCTCTGAGTATCTCATTTGCTTGCTGATCCCTAGTCAGATATTCAGGGTGGTGGGGGATGGTAGGTACCTTTGACACTGTCTTGTACCCTGTCAGCATTCTGGGAACCACTGGAGGTGCTACCACCACGATCTCCTGACAGTTTGAGCCCTTGCTGCAGATATTGGTCAAGTTGTATGGTCTCCAATCCTTTTCCTGCCCACCCTAAGTCACGCTGGCCTGGATCCCTGGGTCTGATAAGCTCAGCCAACAGGAGAGACCCCACACCACCCCATTCACCTGCTGCAACTCACTCCAATCTCCCTAAGTTCACCCTATGCTGCAGAATGAACTTGCTCCCTGAAACTACCTCCAGCTGACCCAGGTTGCCATCTCTAACCATACCCTGTCCCTGAATGAGAGCTGTTTGCTGGTGGCCTCCAACATTATAGGGAGACTCTTCAAGGTCAGTTGTCCTGTGACAACAGCTCAGGTGGCACCAAGCTGGACAATATGAAGCAGTTGAGCCATGAGCCATATTGAGGCTGGTCAAACAGCTTAAGATAAGACAAGTCCCATTCCAAGACTGGGTCCCCAGGACCAGCCCTTCTTATTCTGTCTCTGCTTCTTTGGATACAAGAACTCCCTAGTTCCTTGGTCCCTCTAGCATTGGTACAAACAACCCTCCTTATTGACTACTTAGCTTCCTGGGGCCTACTAAGGCCCTGGCCTTTTCCCAGAAGCTAAAAGATCACATCTGTTCCTCAAAGCCCTGAAGGTGTTCATCAGTACATTATGCTCAGGAGCTGTAGACTGGGCTGGACCCAGGAAGTAGGATGCAGTTTGGAAAGGCTCTCAAGAGGCCTTCTCAGGGCTCCTGACCAGGCAGTGCTGCTCCTAGTGGTATTTAAATAGGCTTGGTGGTTTCTGAATGTTACAAAACTGGGGTGTTGGTGGCTTCAAGTTTGCTCAAGGGCCTGTAACACTGGATGACCAGCGTATAGAGGGATGACACATCACACCCTTGCTGAGAATCTCTGGTCTTGGTGTATCCTGGACTATCTTGCTGGGGACTGATGCTAGTTGGCCCTGGGGATACAGGGTCCTCCAGAAGACCCTGCACCCAGGGAAGGGTGTGTAGGTGGTGGTTAACCTGTCTGTTGAATGTGGATCAGGTTCCAGAGTCCTGCCAGGTGGGGAGCAGGATAATACCCAGGACCTTGGGAGACGCTTGAGAGAATCTTGGTACTACAGGAAGAACGTGGAGTTGTTTATGGGCAGGGACGGTGCTGACAAACTGTCACCTGGAGTAGGCCAAAAGCTTGGCTTTCCCTACTTGGGGTTGGAGATGGGAGTCCTCCCCTTTTTCCCCCCACCTCACTGTTTTCTCTTCAGACTAGGCCTGGCCTATCAGACCCTGGGGCAAGCCTGACCTGAAGTCCTTTTCTCAGCAGGGGCTCCAAAGATCATTGCTTCTATCTTATCCAGAGGGTCAAACCAGACATGGAACAGCCCAGGATGGGCCATGAGGCGAACAGAGACCCTCACATGGGACATGTATGAAACATATATCAAAAATGCTTAATAGTTAGTGTGAAACAGCTACCATGCGGCCACATCCAGTTGCCCCTCTGAAGGGACACTGGCATGGCCCCCCTGGCAGCACTGCCTGCTCCCTCCTCAGATAGGAGTGGCTGGGGGGGTGGCGGTGTCTAAAGGGGCTGGTTGCCATGGCTACCATAGGGTTCTGAGGCCCGTCATCTGGTCCCTGCCTCAGCCAATAGGCGGCAGGAGCCCGAGCTGCAGCCTAGAGTCACGCTTCTGCCTCCCAGCCACACAGTGGCCAAGAGCAGGGACCCGCTTCCTGGAGTGGCTGAAAGTGCTCGGACGGACAGCCAAGCCCATCATGGCGGACAGCGGGACAGTGGGGCGAGATCAGGCACTTGGAGCCAGGCAGGTGAGGTAAGCCAGGCGGGTGGACAGATGGACAGAAGGAAGGGCGGACAGGTGGATGTAGGTGGTTCTTGCAGCCCATTGTTCTTGTGGCTATGGCCCTGCCCTCAGCCCACCCCACCCTCAGAACACACACGCCCTCCCACCGCACCTTTACTCTGGACCCCTCTCCCCATGTGGACCAAGAAAGGGTCAAGGGAGGAGACAAAAGAAAGTCCATGAGCAGAATGGAGCCCACCACACCACGGCCTGAAAGCCGCCTTGGTAGGTCTCCCACATCAGATTCCACACTAAGGCAGCATCAAAGACCCCCGACTAGCCCGGGCCCTCAGCGTCATGGCCACCACGCCTGGGCTCAGCAACAAGCTGCCTCAAATCGGCATGGTTTAAGGAGCATTTGTTTTGTTTTTTCAAGAAGGGGGGCAAAAAAGAAAAAGAAGCAATAGAAAAAAAATATTCACCTATAACGGGGAGCAGCCAGCCCAGATAGATCAGAAGCTCCAAATCCCATTACTCGGGACTTCAGAGCACAGCCCTGCACAGGCAGCTGCGATTAAGAGCTTGTCAATGGAGTCCCCTTCGGAGATCAAAGGGGGCATGCTTTGTGTGTGTGTGTGTGTGTGTGTGTGTGTGTGTGTGTGTATGCACATATGTGTATGCACACATGTGGGTAGGAGCATATGCTGTGGGGTGACAGTGGAGGGACCATGTGCTTCAGCACAGTGGTATATTACCTGCCTGCTGTGGCCACCCTCCATGTTGCTTCTGTCCTTGCTGCTGTGTATGACATGCATGGATATGTCTGGGGGCCAAGATGGGCACAGGAGAGGCCTGGTCCTTAGTACACCCTCTGGAAGGCAGTCCTGGCTATGCCTAGTCCCCATACCTGGGCCTCTACCTTTTACTTGAATCCTGTTCTTTCCCAAAGTCTGCTCAAAGGAGCACACAGGAGCTGAGTAGGAAGGCCTGGCCAAGGGCAGTGCTGGTATGAGGATGGGCTATGTCTGGGTGTATAACTACTGCAACCAGGTCCTGCTGCCCACAGAGGCCTTGAGCTCTCAGCTGCCCTGGTAAATGCATCCTGGGGGTTGAAAGCTGCTGTCGATGTGATTGTTAGGTTGTTAGGTAAACTCTCAGAAGCAAATCTTTTAATCCACTGTGGCTAATCCAGTGCACTTTTGTTTGCCATGACAGATTCTGCAGCAACAAAGGGGCCAGAGGGATCCCAGCATACATAATCACATACTTAGAACTTGGCCGCTGCCGCCTGCAGGGTTCCTAGGCAGCTGAGAGAGACATCGCAGTACAGCAATGTTGAGGGTGGGTGGCAGAAGGAAGGGCCTAGGTGGGCTGAAGGTGTGGACTACTGGCCTCCCTAAGGGACACCTCTTTACATTTGGTCAGGATGTTCCCTGGCCACCAGCTGGAGGTGTGGCTATTGGTCCTTGGGACTGCTAGGTTTCTGGGGGGAGCTAAGCTAAGTCAGGAAGAAGGAAAACATACCTCATACAGGGATGCCAGAGTGCCTGGCATGTGGAGAGGCCTGTGAGGACAGAGGTAGAAAGGATGGGGAAGGATATCAAGGGAGGAAACATGGAGAAAGGTAACAGTGGGCAGCAAGAGGGCAGGTATACTCAGGATGGGAAAAGGACATGGCCTGAGGCTTTGTAGGGAAGTATGATCATTTTCTAAGTACCTTCAGGGCACTAGGGAGGATACTACCTATCCTGGGGAAATAGTGCTAAGGTTGGGAAAGCCAGTAGGCCTCAACCTTTTTCCAACACATATGTGAGACACCTGACTAGGTCATAGCCAGCAGTAAGCTCTGTCTTGCTACCTGGTACTGTCCATGCAAGGCTGCACATGGACCACTTTGCCAAGGAGGACACTCTTGTTACTCAGACAGCAGGTGCTCAAGTCTCCGGGGAGACTAGTGTCATGCCTTCATGTCCTGAGGTTTCCTAGTTGGGTGAGGTGCTGGGCTTGGTGGCAGGCTGCCCTCCCTTCCTGCTTCCTAGGCCCCAGAGCTAGGGGAGTCAAAAGAACTAATTTAGGGCCAGGTGTGGTGGTATATGTTCCATGTCTTGAATCCCAGGTAGATCTCTGTGAGTTCCAGGTCAGCCTGGTCTACATAGAGAGTTCTAAACCAGCCAGAGCTACATAGTGAGATCCTGTCTCAAAGAAAAGAAAAGAAAAAGCTAACTTAGATGTCATACTTTCTATGCCCACCTGCTGACTCTACTTGCCTATCTCCCAGTATCTGCCCTCCCACTGCTCCTAGACTCCCAGACAGGTCCCTGGGGGCTAGAACCTGTCAGAAAGGCAGTATAGATGACTTCCCTTAAGAAGCTGGGGTCAGACCCTAATTAGAAGGTATAGAGGGCTGGTAAGATGACTCAGTGCATCAAGCCTGCCATTAAGCCTGATGACTTGAATTCTATCACTGGGACCTGTAAGGCAGAAAGAAAGAACTGACTTCCATAGTTTGTTCTCTGACTGCCATATGTGTGCCATGACACATTCATGTACTGTACATACACAAATGAGTGTGATCAAAAAAACTTTTTAAGGTATGGCTAGTATCCTAGGAAGGGTTTGCTTAGGGCCCACTCAGGTGGGGAGCTGTCCCAGCCCTACCCTCATGCGTGTTGACACTGTTTTCCTGCCTTAGAGCAACCAGCTCTTGACTGCTGGGGGCTGGCAGGGACATGGTGTGCTGGGTCAGATTTGCTGGATTTAAGACATGGCATTAAATAGTTCTGGAGGTTTTCCTGGGGGATAAGCATGGTACCAGCCGACTAGGACTGGAACAGATAGATACTAACCCTGAACTCTGGGCCAGAAGGGACAAACAGTGACCACAGGGTCCAATTCTGAGAGTCCATGCCAGCAAAGCAGAAAGGTTCATTGTCTACTTCTCTGTGAGTGGGTGCTCCTTACCTGGGAGGGGAAGGCAGATACCTGGGTGAGATAGCATTCTGGAAGCAGGAGGCACCTGACTTTCCATTGTGGTGGTGGCTGGCATATAACCCCTTATTCAGGAGTGTCAACAGTGGCTGACCCTGGAGTCACGTTGAACCACATCATTTAGGGCAATGTTGTGCTCCTGTTGGGAGAAACCCAAACAGCAAGAGTAATGTAACACATCTATGTACTAGGAATGATGGTAAGAGGAAGAAGAGCTTGGGGTCAGCAAGATGGCTCAGCAGATAAAGGCACTAGCTGTCAAGCCTTATGACCTGAGTTCACTTTCCAGGACCCATATAGTGAAAGGAGAGCCAACTCCTTTTAGTTGTCTTCTGACTTACACATACAGGCCAAGGCACTCTTGTTTTTGTACACATACACACACACGCGCAAATAAATGGGTAAATGAATAAAATGTAAGTTTTGTTTTGAGACAGAGTCTCCTTACAGCCACAGCTGACCTAGAACTTACTGTGTAGAGCAGGCTGGCCTGCTGTGTAGAGATCTGCTTGTCTCTGCCTCCCAGGTGCTGGGATTAAAGGTGTGTACCACCACACTTGGCTAATAAATTTAATTTTTTAAAAAAATTTTTATGTGCATGCATGTATTGCCTGCACTTAGGTAAGTGCACCTGTGTTGTGTAATGCCCGAGGAGGTCAGAAGAGGCTGTTGGATCCCTGGGACCAGAGTTACGGACAGTTAGCTGCCATGTGGGTGCTGGGATTCTAACCTGGCTCTTCTGCAAGAACAACCAGTGTTCTTAACCATCTCTCCATCCCTTATAAATGTAATTTTTAAAAAGAGGGTCTTTTAAAAAGAACCTTTAAAAGAGAAGACTCTTTTAAAAGAAGAATCTTTAGGTTGGGCATGGTGGAGGCAGGCGGATCTCTCTGAGTTCAAGGCCAGCCTGGTCTACATAGTGAGTTCCAGGACAGCTGGGGCTACAGGAAGACCCTGCCTCAAAAAGACAAAATTAAAAAAATAAATAAATAAAAGAATCTTTAAACAGAAGAACCTATCAGGAGGCATGTCAGTGCTAAGGCAGTTGCTAGTACCAGAGTTGGAGTCTGCTGAGACCCCAAGCCTGGAATGAACACAGGACTGGACCAGCCAATGTTGCCATGAGCAGCTGCATCCTTCAGGATGCTGGGATGTTCACTTTGCTATTGTGTTGCTGCTATGAGTTATACACTGATGCCAATTGGAAGGTAGCAGCCACTGCAGAGTTGAGGCTTCCATGTGATTGTAGCAGTAATGTCACTGCAGAACATTCCTAAAGAATAGAAAATAAAATAAAACCCATGCAGGACATGGTAGCACATATCTGTAGTCCTAGCACTTGGAAGGCTGGGGCAGGAGGATCATAAGGCCAGTCTTGGCTATATGGTGAGACCCTGTTTTGGAGGGGAAAAGAAAAGAACCCATTGGTAATTCTACTTTCTATAAAAGGCCTCTAGGATGGGTTCTTATTCCTCCTGCCTTCACAGACCTGTTATGTGGCACAACAGCTGTCATCTGTGTTTATATGGCCAGGTGTCATTTCTTCTCACTTCTGTATCTTGAAGTCCTTGTCCTCTGTTAGGCAAAGGGGTCCTGGCCACTCCCCCTGTGGAAAAAGACTTATGAGATGAGGGAGACACCAGGACTGGGCTTATGACAGGAAGGTATCTGGGTGACAGAGTTGGGGAATTGGGCCACCCAAGTCCCCCTCCTGAGCCACTTTGGGTCCTAAATGACTGCTTCATTCTAGAATGGCAAATAAGCCACGTAAGACCTACAAGTCTTCCTTCCCATATATGAGCTCAGTCACTTGGCCACCACTACCTTTACACTGGGCAGAGGGATTAGGACAGCCAGTCAGAAACTAACTGAACCTGAGACTCCTTTTTGCCCAGAATTGGGGATCAGAATGGTTCCCCTTTGTCTACTCTTCCTGAGCTGGTACATGGACAGTGGCCATCCATCTCTTCAGCTGCCCTTCTGTTTCTCAGCCATGTATCACTAGGCCACACCCTCCTCCTTTGTATTATTTTTTATGAGTCATCTTAAGTCATCTGGACAAATATATTGAAGGCTTCAAAACACATTTTATTTCAAAGTATTCTTTTTATGTCTACCTTGATAAAAATCATTGCTCCTCATACATTTTTTCCTTTGGTTCCTGGAAAGAAGCCTGAACAAATACCATGGACGTTAAGTCAAAGCTGTTAGTGGCAACTCTGACTGGAGTAAAGGGCATTTGCATCTTAAGGGCCCTGTGTATGTATCCCTCAAAAGCAGATTCCAAAGTGCTGTCCTCTTCCCCTTCCTCTCCAGAAACCCCCTAAGGTCTCTATAGTCTGGTCCTTGGTGGAACTCCCTCCTCTGGTCTAACCTTCCCTTCCTCTGACTCCTTGTTTGGACATTCTCCCCCTCAAAGCCACCCCTCAGCCCACCTTAGGCTGTTGCATTTCCTCCAGGCTTCCTGACTCCCTTCCTGTCCCTGCAGGGCAGGGGGCCTGAGGAGCTGGAGGCTCGAGAGTCCTCTTCTGGTCCCAGGGCTTGGGGATACCCACCACCGTGGTCTAGCAGGAGGATGGACGTGGACTTGATCCTGAAAGCCTGGCCTGGCCGCAACAGCAGCTCTACAGAATCAAGGCAAGCCTTGGGGCCCGGGTCTGGGAGTGGGGAGGCAGCCCAAGGTCAGAGCTACCTACTGCCCACCCAGTCTCTTTTAATGAGTTGAGGATGAATGGGTTAAAGGAGTCACCAGTATCCATAGGCTCTGGGACCTGGGGCTCTCCTTGTTGAACATTTGTGAACAGCACACCTGCTGCCAAGATTTGGAGCTCATGCTGGCTTAGCGGTACAACTTTGCATAGCTCAGACTGTGCCCTGAAGCTCAGTGATGGGTCTGGGAAAGGAAATTAGCAGGCCAGTAGCTCTTGTCCATGTTGTCCCGTCTCTGTATACAGCAACCCTGCACTTTAAGGCACGGTGCCAAATCCCAAAGGGCAGGTGGCAGGTTAGGATCTCTCCAGGCAGGTGACACTGGTGGGCAGCTGGGTGGAAGGTGGCCTACCCAAACCAGGGCTTCTGCTATTGCCTGGGAACTATGAAGGATGAGTGAGCTGGGCAATGAGGGTGAGCAATGTCTAGGAAAAAGCACAATGGTGGCCATTAGCAGTGGCATCATTGTGAATGCATGTAGGTGGGTAACTGCAGCTGCAGCCAGGATAGAATGGTATGGGGGAAGATACCAGAAGGAAAGGTTCTGAAAGAATGTGGGCATGAGGGAGTCCTGGCAGGCCAGGTAAGGCTACTGACCCAGGTGAGCCCTGGGTGGGTGTGGGCTGAGCCTAGTAGCAACCTCTTTTCTGCAAAATGAGGACGGCCTGGAGTAGCTGAGAGGTGCCAGGGGCAGTGCTCTGAGGTCTGATCAGTAGATCAGATGATGTCCTCAGGGTAGTGATTCCTTGTGCTTACACTCTTCTCCTTAGGGAGTGGCTGATAAGAGGGTTGAGGCCTAGCAAAACCCTTCTATTGTGCTGGTTCTGACAGGGTACTGTCCAGAGCTGGTGCGGGGCTGTTGCCAAGGAGAGCTGGGCGCCTCTTTTCCTTGGAATGCCTGCAATGCTTGACAGGCTCAGGTCCCCATCCTCAGCAAGGGATGCCATGGAGACAGTGTATGTGTGTAGGGAGTGTCAGGACACTCAGAAGTCCTGTCAGGATGGCACACCGACTAGGCATGACGGTTCAGACACGGGCGGTCTGTCCTCTCAGTGCGCTGGCTCAGGGCTCATTGATGTCCATAGCTCTAGAGCCCGCCCAGGGACAAGCTTCCCATATCACCTGTCCGGACCCGCTGCAGTCGCCGCCTCCTCGGGAGTACTCCGCGACTACGTCCTGGTGCGCCCCAAGCCCACTCCCTTTCTCCACCACCGTAGACACGGCCTGGCTCCCCAGTTCCGGCCCCAACTACGCCGCCACCCCACCTCTTAGCACAAGACCCTGCTCTGCGCTCTTCTGGTGCTCTTTCAGTCAGCGCCCACGCTCAAAGCCCCGCCCCACACGGCGGCGGAGCCTCCACTCCCGAGTCCCCGCCTACACCCAGGCCCCACCACCTTCTCTTCACTTTAGTCCCTGTTTGCCGGCCCATCTCACGCCGCGGCCCCGCCCATCTCGGAGCCCCGCCCCACGCCGGGGCCCCGCCCCCGCACTTCCGGGCGGCGCCGGTGGGGGCGCTCGGGCCTGGGCTTTAGTGGTTTGGGCTTGGACTCCAGGCTCCTGGAAGTGCCTGCGGCCGCGGCCGCTGCCCCCGCCGCTGCCGCTGCCGTTGCCACCGGAGCCCGCTCAAGTCGGTGTGGCGCCGTCTCCTCCAAGAGCGGGACGGGGAGACTGGGTGGGTCCATCACCAATCTTCTGGGCCTGGCGGCCAAAGACTGATGGGGCCCTGGTTCCTCAGCCCCCATCTCAACAATAACAATAACTCTGGAGGAGCCCCGGGTGGCCCGCCCGCCGAGCCGCCGCTGATCTCATGGGCCGCGCCGGGCCGGTATCCGGGCCCGGGGCTGCGCCTGCACAGCCGCCGCGCGCCGGTGAGTAGTGGGGGCCGTAGAGTGCGCTCCTGTGGCGCCGAGGCCTGCTGTCCGTGGCTGCGGGTGTAGGCCGCGCTAGGCCGGCGGGCGCGGACCCGGAAGAGACGGGCGCGCGGGTTGCGGGCTGGAGGCGTGTCGGAGCGTGGGGTTTGCGTACTCCGGTGTGTGAGCATGTGCGCGGCGCGGAGAGTGCTGGGCTGTGAGGGGACGCAGGGCGGGAGAGGTGCGGGCTCCAAGGATGCGCTCGAGGCGTGAGGACTGCGTGCTGTGCTAGGTATATGGGGTGAAGGACTGTTGGGGGCAGATGTACCAGGCAGGGAAGGGGTGATAGCAGGGGGTGGAGAAGGCAGGGAGGTCTGTGTGAACTGGAAAGGAGGAAGTAAGGTAGACCCAGGACTCTGAGGAGGAGCTGTGTTTGCTGAGTGTAGTGTGCCTGCTGTTGTCCGTGGGCCTAGGACGCGTTTAGGGTTTGGGTGGGTGGGTGGGTGCAGAGGAGCTGCTGGGGCCAGACTGTGTGCGGGGCAGAGAGAGGTGTGTGTATGTGTGTCTGTCCCCGTCCTCCTTTGGTGTCATCCCTCACCCCCTGCAAAAAAGAAAAGTGGGGATAGTGCAACCCAGGGAGGGCACCCTGACTATTCTGAGTTTCGGCTTACCAGATAACCTAGTTGTCCTGGTGTTTATGCTTTGTCTGGTTGATGCCTTGCTCCCCCAAAATAGTTCTGTCTCTTACAGTTAGGTCTTTGATTCTGTCCTCACCATACATTTTGAATTTACAATCTGGCCTCACCAGTGAAAACAAAGCTACACATTTTTAGCTGGGCATGAAGCAGTAGAAAAAAAAAATACAATTCTCTGGAGATTTTTCTTAGCTCATCTCAAAGTAACTTATAAAGGGATCTGATTGTGTGTGCACTTTTTGCTCACACGTGTTCCCTGGACCCAAAAGCTGTTTTGGAGAGCATGCAGTCTAACTTTACCTAAGGTAGCCAGCACTGGCTGGTTTTAGTTTTAGAACTTCCACTTCAGGGACAAGTGGGAAATCGTGTAAAGCACCAGGGTTTTGTTTGATTTTTCAGCAGGTGTTGACTTGTCTTAGATTTCATTCAGAGAAACAAAGGTTATATTGGCCATTGAAAATTTTTGTGGTTGGGGGACTGGTTAGATAAGAAGTGATACCATTGACCCTTCAAGAATTTAATCAATAAATAGTTGCTAAAATGCCAGTCATGCTGTTACTTCCACATTCAACCTAAGTCAAAAGTTTGGAAATTATGTTTAAGTATATAGTAAATACAGGGTTGGAGATTTTGCTCAGTGGCAGAGTGCTTGCCTAGCAAGCGCAAGGCCCTGGGTTTGGGCCTCAGCTTCAAAAAAAAAAAAAGACAAAGTATATAATAAATACACATTCAGCTTGCTCCCAAGGTACCCAGGGCTGTGTGCTTTGACAGTGCCCAAGGGGATTTTAAATAAGATATCAGACTTGTATAATTCCCTTTATGGAGTCATTTTATAGATGGTGGTTAGAGGTTGTGGGCCAGATTTGGTGCTGTGGGCATTGGACTCTTACTGAATTAGTGTAGCTGCTGTGTGTGTGTGTGTGTGTGCGTGTGTGTGCGCCCTAAATGCTAGGTATGCTCTGTGGGAACCCAGAGATTATTGGGAATTTGACCGTTTCAGTGTCAGTAATTTGTGGGGGTGTTCATGTACTTCCAGGGATAGGTGGCCAGGGATGCATTCCTTCTTTCCTGTGATTGTTTCCCAGATATGAGCGACATAGACATGATGGGCTTGTGTGGTGCTGCAGACACCCAAGGTGCTTACTGCATGCTGACAGAGCTCACAGAAAGTGTCTAAAGTTGAGGTGTGGTATGGTCAGTGAGCAGCAGGAGGCCACAGCTATGGAGGCCTTGACGTTAAGAAACAGGCTGGTCCTGCTGAGGCTGAAATTATAACCTAAGAAGTCATTAGCTACAGAAATGTCATAATTGTGACCCACTCTTATCTGTGCATGCTATTAGTAATCTAGCCCATCAGCATTACTAGCAGGTGAAGTGTGCGCAGTGTGAGAATGGGTAGGGATGGATTTCATGGAGGGCAGGGCCCAGCACGGTAGAGTGGTGACCAGGGAAAATCACACCCTCTTTTTGGTTGTAGGTGTGCATTAAGTTATCATCTTTTGTGACATGATCTCATGTAGCTCAGGATAACCTCCAACTCTCTGTGTAGCTGAGGATGACCTTGAATTCCTGGTTCTCCTGCCTCTACCTCTCAAGTACGGGGAGGTTTTATACAGTACTTGGGATCTAGGGACAGAATCCAATGCCTCATGCACCTTAGGCAAGCACTGTACTGTCTGAGCTATAGTCCTAGCCCATGACCTCGAACTCTTGATCTTTCTCCCTGTTTGCCAAGTGTTGGGATTTACAGGTGTGTGCCAATATACTGAGTTTTCTCCTCCTCCTCCTCCTCCTCCTCCTCTTTTTCCTCTTCTTTTTTGAGACAGGCTCTCATTCTGTAGCCCAGGCTAGCTTTTTTTTTTTCTTTTTGAAATAGGATCTCCCTTTAGCCACAGCTGGCCTGGAACTCCCTAGGGAGACCAGGCTGATTTCCATATGCCTGCCTCTGCTCCTAAGTACAGGGATTATCAGGAAGATCTTCCTGTTTCAGTCTTGAGTGCTTGAGATGACAGGTATGAGCTACTATGCCCAGCTTAGTGGTAAGGATTTATTTAGTATCCCCTGACTTGTTCTGTGCTCCATGTGTTTGACCCTGGGATATGTTGTAAGCCCCTCTCTCCAGCCTGCTTCTAGCTGGGACCATTTGTGATAGGGCAGGCTGTGTTGATGTCTGTCTCTTAGTTAGGTTGAGAAGCATAACCAGAGCTCAGGGGCTCACTAGGCTCCTGTGGGATATAGCAGAAAGGACTAAGGACCATGGCAGAGGCTCCTGTACAAGTCTGAACTGGTTTGATCTCTTTTGTATACCCCACACAGCAACAAAAACTATAGTTCTCTAATCTCTGAGAGATAGGTGGTTTGGTTTTCAGCTTGCAGAGCTAAACTATATCAGCTGTATGCTTCTTTACATAAGAAGCATACTTGAATTTGGAATTCATCTTTTCTGTACCTTCTCTATTTTTTTTCCAAGTTCCTAGTCACTATTTGCTATCAGAAGGGAGTCTCCTTGGAAGAGAACACTTAGCAGCCAAGAATAGCTTTCTGCATTTTTAAAGTTGTCTGTGTTAATGATGCACAAATGCCTTTGCATATGGACTGTGTCTTTCCATCACTGGTCCATGGTGTGGAATGTGGTCTATGCTCAACTACTCTTTTAGGTGATGTTGAGAGCTGGAAGGATGTCTTGCTGTGTGATTGCATATGTTATAAGGCATACCAAGTATGAAAAATGATACAGTAAACAGAAAATACAGAGGCTGTTGGACTTAGAATGTGTTCACCTGCCTGAGACTCAATAATGAGCTCTTTTTTTCTGAATGTCACTAGGGCAGGTGAGATGATTGTCATCATATGTGAGGGACCAGCTCACTGGTGCTGGTGGCTGGGGACAGAGGCACTCTTTCTTCAGCTTTCTTGCCCTCCATTCATTCATTTCTTTAACCAGGATGGGTGGTCTTCAAGCCCCATGAAAACAGAGGAGTCTTCCATGATCCAGGCATTCACTTAGTATGAGAGACATTCTTGTAAGTTTCCAGAAGTTGTCTTAATGATAGAGCAAACCTTGTGGCCAAAATGTCTCTGTTGGAAGTCTGCACTGAGTCTCTGCTCCAAGTGGGAGTGGGGGGGCATCACTGCACATCTCAAGAGAACCTCTGGTGTTTCCATGGACCACCTTTCCTAATCCTTGTCCTCTTAATGGTTTCAACAGGACAGATTGATTCCCTTGGGAGCTGTAAGTACTGAGGTATTAGGGTGCAGCGATCATTGTTCACTGACGCACAGAGTCCCAAAATGAATGTCCAGGAGCAGGGTTTCCCCTTGGACCTCGGAGCGAGTTTCACCGAAGATGCCCCCCGACCTCCAGTGCCTGGCGAGGAGGGAGAACTGGTATCTGCTGACCCGAGGCCTGTCAGCCACAGTTTCTGCTCTGGGAAAGGTGCCAGCACTAAAAGTGAGACCTCGACAGCCACCCCAAGGCGTTCAGATCTGGATCTGGGGTACGAGCCTGAGGGCAGTGCCTCTCCCACCCCACCATACTTGAGGTGGGCCGAGTCACTGCATTCCTTACTGGATGACCAAGATGGGATCAGCCTGTTCAGGACTTTCCTGAAGCAGGAGGGCTGTGCTGACCTGTTGGACTTCTGGTTTGCCTGCAGTGGCTTCAGGAAGCTTGAGCCCTGCAACTCAAATGAGGAGAAGAGGCTGAAGCTGGCAAGAGCCATCTACCGAAAGTATATCCTGGATAGCAATGGCATTGTGTCTAGGCAAACCAAGCCAGCTACCAAGAGCTTCATAAAGGACTGTGTCATGAAGCAACAGATTGATCCTGCCATGTTTGACCAGGCCCAGACAGAAATCCAGTCCACCATGGAAGAGAATACCTACCCTTCCTTCCTCAAGTCTGACATTTATTTGGAATACACAAGGACAGGCTCAGAGAGCCCGAAGGTCTGCAGTGACCAGAGCTCAGGGTCTGGGACAGGGAAGGGCATGTCTGGATACCTGCCCACTTTGAATGAAGATGAGGAATGGAAATGTGACCAAGATGCAGATGAGGATGATGGCAGAGACTCTGTCCCTCCCAGCAGGCTCACCCAGAAGCTGCTCTTGGAGACTGCTGCCCCGAGGGCCTCCTCAAGTAGACGGTACAGCGAAGGCAGAGAGCTCAGGTGAGTTCGGCACAAGGTGTCCATTTTCTATACACACCTCGGAGATCTGGCAAAGGAGCAAGGGAAAGATGTTGGTAACGGGTGGCCTTGTCTTTCAACCCCAACTGAAAGCTCTGCCTCTGCTCTTGCTGAATTACAGTTTTATTTCCTACTTAGGTATCTTTATACTTGTCACTATCTTTTTATGTTTGCAACTTCGAAAATGCTTTTATCAAGAACAGACTTGCCAGGCATAATCCTAGCTACTTGGGAGGCTGAGGCAGGAGGATTAAAAATTGGGAGCCAGCTTGGGCAACTTACAGAGAGTCAAATGAAAAAAATAAAAAGGAATAGAGGTGTAGCTCAGTGGCTAGCTCTTGCCTAGGATGTATGAAACCATTTCCATCCTCAGTAACACCAAAAAAAAAAAACCAAAACAAAAGACTAAATATATGGCCTTATGAATTATTAGGAGCATGGAAGTTTATCCTTGAGCTTAAAATTCATTCCTTGCATGGAAGATGGACTTAACCAGAGAAGTGCATTCAAATGCATTAGATTCAAATTCTCAGATACTTAGAGAATTCTGATTGCTTTTTGTAACAATCTTCCCAAGATTTTTCCTGGAGGATAAAGACAGTAGAGGGCTAGTTTCTGTGTGGTTCTTTGTCAAAGGTTTCAGTAACTCCTGGTGGCTGTATTTGGAGTTCCAGAATTGGACCTTTTCCCTCTGTGTTATGATCACTGCATAGCAGCCAAAGGATGTTTTGATTGTGTGAGTGTGTTCACATGGCTTGAGGAGCAGCAGCAGTGTGTGTGAGTGTGTGTGTTAGTCAGAGGCTGGACAACTTGGCAGGAGCAATTGTCTCCTTTTGGGTTCTTGGGATTGAACTCAGGTCATCAGGCTAGGCAGCAAGCACCTTTACCTGCAGAACCATCTCGTCAACCCAAACTTCACCTTTAAATTTTTTTTTTTAAATTTATTTTTTGTGTATGAGTATTTTGTTTGCTTCTAAATAAGTGCATCCCTGTCATGTAGTGTCTGCAGAGGCCCGAAGAAGGTGTTAGATCCCCTGGAACTTGAGTTACAGTTGGTTTTTAGCTGTCATGTGGGTGCTGGGAACCAAACTGGGGTCCTCTGCAAGAGCAGCAGCCAGTACTCTTTTTTTTTTTTGGTCTTTTTTGAGACAGGGTCTCTCTGTAGCCCCAGCTGTCCTAGAACTCACTATGTAGACCAGGCTGGCCTTCAACTCACAGAGATCTGCCTGCCTCTGCCTCCCAAGTGCTGAGATTAAAGTCATGCACCACCACACCCCACACAGCCAGTACTCTTAACTACTCCCAAGTGCTGGGATTAAAGATGTGCACCACCATGCCCCATGAAGCCAGTACTCTTAACTACTGAGCCATCTCTCTAGCCCCCAATCTTCACCTTTTTAAAACTTAGTATCACTGTGGTTACTGGAGACTTGCTTGGCATAGTTGGTGTCTGTCATGAGCAGAGCCTTGTGTTTCTTGTACATTTCCCTAGAGCTGGTGACTAGAGAAAGACTCGGTCTACTCTTGACTCCAAACTGAAAACCTGTCCCTAGGTGCTGAGATAGTTGGCATTAACATCCAAGACTGTTTTCAAGCTTGCTTGATCACACTATACCATGGAGAAATTGATCACTTGCAAAGAATTAACATGTCTGAGGGCTAAACTTTAGTTTAAGTGATACTGTTTGACTAATTTTGTTTCTTCTGTTCATTAGTCAAGTGTTATTTATGCAGCAAGATATATTTTTATTACTTTTAATGGTTGGGTTCTAATGGTTGGTGTGTGTGTGTGTGTGTGTGTGTGTGTGTGTGTGTGTGTGTGTACTTAAGAACAGGTGCCCACAGAGGTCAGAGGTATTGGATCTCCTGGAACTGGAGCTAGAGGCAGTTGTGAGTTGCCTGACATGGCAGGCTCTTAACCACTGAGACATCTTTCTAGCCCTTATGCAGCAAGATTTTCATTCTTGAAGATAATGCCTTTTTTTTTTTGGTGTTTTTGAGACAGGGTTTCCCTGCAGCCACACATGGCCTGGAACTTGCTATGGAGACCAGACTGGCCTCCATCTCACAGAGATCCACCTGCCTCTACTTCCCTAGTGTGGGGATCAAAGCCATGTGCCACCATACAACTCAGCTGCTTCTTCTTCATCATCCTTTTTTAAAGATAAAGCCTTAGGTATTCTAGGCCAGCCTCAAATTCTCTGTGTAGTTGAGAATGACCTTGAACTTCTGATCCTCCTGTCTCCACCTCTAGAGTTCTGAATTATAGGCGGGCGCCAGCATAGTTTTGCCATGCTGAGGATTGCATCTAAGGTTTTGTGTATGCTAAACAAGTACTTTACCAACTGAGCTACATCCTTGGCCCTCATTTTTTTTTTTTTTATTTTTTAAAGAGATGATTTCTTGTAGCTCAGTGGTCTAAAACTTGCTATGTAGCAGAGGATGACCTTGAACTACTTACTGGTCCTTCCTACTTCCACCTTCCAGCTGAGATTATAGGCTGGTGCTACCATGCCTCGTTTCCCATGTGGTATTTTTGTTGTGTTGTTGTTGTTCTTGGGCTTTTTGTTTGTAGTGTTAAAGATCTTATCCAGGGCCTCATGCAAGTTAGGGGAGTGTTTTACAAAGCAATGAGCAACACTTTAGCCCCCAACATGTAATTCTTATTTGGACCCATTCTGCTTGTCATGCAAGGAGCTGCAGTTAGGAGGCATCAGGTTGGGAATAGGAAGATCCAGCCCAGTGGGCTAGAGAGATGACTCAGTGGTTAAGAGCACTGGCCCTTCTCGTAGAGGGCCTGCATTCCATTGCCAGTACCCACATGGCGGCTAACTACCATCAATGGCTTCAGTTCCAGGAGAGCCACTGACCTCTTCTGACCTCCATGGGCACTGCATTCATGGGTAGGCAAAACACTCATACACATGAGAGAAAAATAAATTTTAAAAAGTTTGAAAAAGGCTGGGCGTGGTGGCGCACGCCTGTAGTCCCAGCACTTGGGAGGCAGAGGCAGGTGGATCTCTGCGAGTTCAAGGCCAGCCTGGTCTATATAGTGAGTTCCAGGACAGCTGGGGCTACAGGGAGACCCTGTCTCAAAAAGACAAACAAACAAACAAACAAACAAACAAAAAAAGTTTAAAAAAGAAAGAAAAGAAAATCCAGTCCACCTGGGCTTAAGCATTGACTGGAATTGGCTAATGTTTCATGTGCTTTGATCAGGACTCTAGCACTTTTCTTATGCTTCAGTGAACCTGTTTTCTTGGCAACCTGCTTTGTTGGTTTCCTTGCAGACGTGGCTGCCTCTATGAACTTGTGCTCTGAATTCCCTTATTTACAAGTGCTTCCCACAACAGTGAAGGAAGCCTCTGCACTGGCTCAGAGTGGGGAACACTGATGTTGCTGTGTCCTGCTAGTCTCAGCATGCTTAGGACTAAGGCTGTACTGTTAGGCTTAAACCAAATAGGGCCATTTTGGAAGGAAAGTGGGGTGCTTCACCGAGACAGCATAGCCAGTTCCCAGTTAGGGGAGTGTGGTCCTCCAAAGGAAGATTGAGGCTGATGGAAAAGGAAAGTTGATGCTGAATAGGAAGTGTTTACTAGGGAAGGAAGCCCTAGAACTAAATCTCTTTTCCTGGGTAACGCCTTTACTATGGATGTCATGTTAAGGAGCTCCAAAGGGGCCAGATCTGGTACAGCATGGCACCAAGGAACTTGGAATAGTAGCCTCCCTGCTCTGTGTTTTTGTGGTTTGGGACTGCTCTGCTGTGCTCTCATTGGTGGACACTCTGCTTTGGCAGGAACTATCATTCTGTCCTCTGTATCAATGCATGTACATGGTGATTTTTACATAGATGACTAGAGGACAGTCATTGAGGCTTAGGTTTGTCAAAACCCAGAGGATGGGATATTCTTGACTAAACTGAGACGATACACTATGCTTTTTTTAAAAAAAAAATATTTTATTTATTACTTTTATTTTATGTGTATGCATATTGCCTGCATGTAGATAAGTGCACCTGTGTCATGTAATACCCATGGAGGACAGAAGAAGCTGTCGGACGGAAGAAGCTGTCGGATCCCCTGGAACTGGTGTTACGGACAGTTGTTAGCTGCCATATGGGTGCTGGGATTCGAACCTGTGTCTTCTGCAAGAACAACCAGTCTTCTTAACCGCTGAGCCATCTCTCCAGCCCCCGATACACTATTCCTTATTGGTTTGTTTTTGTTTTTTGAGACAGGGACTGAAGTTACAGGCAGTTGGGCACTTCCCAATGTACCATCTTTGCAGCCCCAAGTTTTAACAGGTGTGAATTAGCAGGCTCCTGGCAGTTTGCTGAATGGTTCGGCAGTCAGGCTCAGGGACTGTGACACACTAGCTGGAAGACTTGGGTTTTACTGTCTTTGGTAGGTGTATCTGGTCCACAGGTATCATTCAGTATTGGTCTGACTTTCCTGCCAGGTTTTGATGGTCAGGCCTGAAGTCAGGCCAGCTACCTCAGCCCTGTCTCCTGTCGCCATGTGTGTGCTAGTTTTAACTTTTTTTTTTTTTTTCTTTTCAAATTTTAGCCGGGCGTGGTGGCGCATGCCTTTAATCCCAGCACTCAGGAGGCGGAGGCAAGCGGATGGATCTCTGTGAGTTGAAGGCCAGCCTGGTCTACATAGTGAGTTCCAGGACAGCTGGGGCTACAGGGAGACCCTGTCTCAGACCAAAAAAAAAGTTTTTTTGTTTATTATTTTTATTTTATGTGTATGTGTGTATTGCCTGCATGTAGGTAAGTGCACCGTGTCGTGCAATGCCCGCGGAGGTTAGAAGAGGCTGTCGGATTCCCTGGGACTGGAGTTACGGACAGTTGTTAACTGCCACGTGGGTGCTGGGATTTGAACCCGGGTCTTCTGCCAGAACAACCATTGTTCTTACCCACTGAACCATCTCTCCAGCCCCCAGTTTTAACTTCTTAAATGCTTTCTTTTACTTTTGTTTGC